CACATTCTTGTGCATAGTATTTTGCTCTGAAGCTTTCTTCCCAGAAAATGCCGGATTTTTTCGAACAACGCTTACTCCTCTTCTTTTCGGCGATGACTCGAGAACTAAGCTAAGCCTTAGTTACAGAGAAAAAGACTCTTAAAAAGTAGGGTTAGCTGTAATCACTGTCATAATGTGATGCGTCTCACACCTGACCATAGTAAAACTGATGGATACATCTGGTACCTAGCCTTTTTAAAAGTAGTGTAATAGAGTTCCAAAAGGGGTCCTCAAATCCCGCCCTTTCCCCAATTTTTTTTCTGGTAAATCCCGCCATCCCATCATTCCGCCTTTCTTTACCTCAAAATCCCGATTCCACTCAATGATTTTAAGGACCGTTTTATTGTTAATTGTGTAAATAAAAGTGGCATAGCTGAGTTACGGTAGCTGACAGTACCACAGGGGGCTCACATAAATGGAGCGACTGTTGATGTTTCAAAATTATAAAGGAATGCATGGGAAAACCGAAACGTTCGTATTAGTATGAACTATTCAGGTAGAGTTTTAGTGTAACTGCAGAGAGGATTGCAGTTACGCCTAAACTCTACTGAACTTGAACAAGTAGACTCCCACAAACTGCTTGGGGTGACGCATTTTGTGCAAGTCTAATGTACATAATAAGTATGTACAGTAGATATTCTACAAAAAAATACTCATAAAATTTGGACCAAACGTTCTATACTGCCACCTAAGACACTTAGAGGAAACACACAAAAAATTTCAACCGAACCTTTGTGGAATTACTCTACCAAAGACCGTTTATTCAACGTTTTGCTCATCGATGATCTTCCTGATGAAAATAGCGAAGTGTAAAAGGTGATTGGACAGAGTGACTGGGATTCGCTGACAAAAGTAGGCGAGGCAGTAGATGTAACTGGGTGTTGTCGGGGATATGAAATTCAGGTCCCTTTCACAGTTCGGTGATTTTAGTGATATTTAGGTCGCATCATTCTGTTTTATCGTTGCTCAATACTCAAGATGTTTTTTGAGATACTTGATGAAAATCCTTCGTTTTCGGAAAGAAATTTCATGCAGGGAAGTCTTAATTCGAGTTACAATGTTTTGGCCTAAATACTCGTACACGACTCTAAATTCACGCAAATGAGGTTTCAAATCTTACTGATTAAAGGAAAAAACGTAAAAAACGTTAGACTACTTTTCACTGGGAATATGATTTGTGGTAAATTTGGGCTAGAAATTGGAATTGTAATCACACCTTCCCCGTCAGAACACCGCTAGTATACTAGTAATTAGGCATTTGTTACTCTGAAAGATGTTTGCAACTTGCCCCGAGTTTTTCTTAATTGAGTGTCGAAATTGTTTTTCCTTTTGGGCTTATTTCTGTTCTAGGAAACGCCACAGATGCAAACTCAAGACATCAGTCAGAGTACATTCTTTTTTTTCAAGAGGCAAAATCGCGCTACAACGGTAAACACATTTCCTCTGGAAATGGGCCCAAAAAGACTCCTTGAAAGTTATGAAAGCAATGATAGTAGAAGTAGAAGTAATGATTGGAAGAAGAAAGGCGTCGGTGAAGTTCGCATGTCATTGCCGTGAAATTGCGTGGCTACTACTGTACCCGATTCCAAGACGGGGATCATTGTGCAGATCGATGAATCAAAGTTTAACCACAAGTATAAAGTAAGTTCAACCTAACATTAAGGCCAGTAAAAGAAAATCAGTAATACCTATCAAAGCAGATTTCACACTCGGTTAATTTTGTGGATCCAGCAACCGGTGTACATACAAAGCATGCAGAAAGCTACTGGAATGCAACAAAGGAAAAGTTTAAAAAGATGAAGGGAAATACTAACTAAATAACAATTTCTTACAAGAATATTTGCAAGAATTCACGTAGGACGTTGGTACGGAGAACCTCATCCAAGCTGCTTTCTAAGAATCTTACACCGGGACATCGCCGAACAACATCCCCAGTAATCAAGGTTGAAAGCTTATCATTGATCTAATACAATAAATGTATTATTCCTCGCCTCCTCACTTTCGGTGTACACGAAATATCGATATCAGCAGGTATACTACATGTATAGTACGTAAACAATGAGGTCTGAACTCGATTAGGTGCTCATTTTCTTTCTGACTGTAATAACATGACATCATTAATGTTTGTATGGTTCCAAATACCATTCTCATACAATCTCCTCTTGTTATTTGCTTTGACCATACATCAAGAAACTTTTTAGCTTTTGCATGCTTGTTATTATTGTTGTTGGAAAAGTTTAATTTTCTATGCAATGCTATACACTTACGTCAAAATTGCAAATTAATTCAGAGAACCTTTTCCCTACCTCAATGTTTGAACTTTCGTCAAAGACTGGATCAATACACTGTACATCAATGGTGGATATTCAGCCGTTACTGCATCGGGTATCGGTCGATTTCTCAGTTGACTGTCGATTGATACTCGGTCGAGGCTTGACCGACAGTCGACAGTCGACCGATGTATAACCGACGTATAACCGATAATCGAACGATATACCACCGACAATATTGTGATTGTTACGTTGACCAACACCATGATGGCCATTAGGTGTGCTGTCGATCGATACTCAGTCCAGTATCGGTCGAGTACCACTATATCGACCAATACTCGACCGATACATCGACCGATGTCACGATCGAGGACCCCTATAAGATACATGATCCGAAAATCGCTTACGGGTAAAAGCAGCTTCAGTGGTTTAGAATTCTCTCCGGTTGTGTGCCGAGCACAGGAACTTGATAGCTTATCTTTTGCAACCAGCTGCAGATCAAACACACCTTGCGTAGTTACTCAGAGAAAAGAGATCGTACTTTCAATACTTTCAAACTCCGGACCTTTATGTTTTATGGCATAGCTCTCCACTATTTCAAAGCTTTTAGCTGTACACATCTCTTCAACTTTTGACCTGCTTTCGAAATGGTAATTGCCTATCAGGCGGCCAAGGTTCAGTGGGTTAAGCTCCCCATAAACGTCGTACAAGGATTCAGGTAACAAAGGGTTGAACGAGATAACGATTTTCCCAGCTGGTTTAATTAAGGCTCTGATACATGTTACTGAAGGCTTCTTGTTTCTATCTTGGATCCAATGAAGCACAATGTCGTAACACTCCTTACCCATTCCGGAAAAACTCGAAGCGCTTCTTCGAGAATTGTAAGATTATTAATTCCTCCGTTTGACTCCTGGGCCAATTTAACCCGAGAAATGTCGGGGTTCACGGTTACGACTTTTCCATCTCTTCCCACAAGCTCCACCAGATAGGCAGACAGTTCTCCAGTGCGACAGCCTAAATTCAGGATGATATCTCCGGGAAATGGCGGAACATTTTTCAGTCAATTTCGTGCCCAACGATCCTTGCACGTTAGTAGAAATTTGCTGGTAACACTTAGCAGCTCGTTCACTGTTTATCATGGTTTGTGGCTGAGACTGACGGTAAGAGCGTACAGAGAGCCGCTAATTGGTTGCAGCCAGCATTAAGAATTTGACTGTGCAATATCAAACAAAGGATAGAACAATTTTCTGTAGAACCGGCCGACTAAGTGCCTCGAACCAAGTTTGGATTTGAGTTGGACTTGAGTTAAAAATTCGAGTTAGATTACAAGACCGTAAATATGCAAATTTATTTACCTTGCGCAACAGACTCGAGAGCAAAGGTCCCACGAGGGAGGCGTAAAATGATCTAAGGGCTTGTCAATATAAAGTAAGAGGACTTTTCAGTTGTTAGCAAATTGAACATAAACAGATAAAATCCGAATTAAAAGTATCATTTGAATAAAGGGGTCAGTTTCTAAGGAAACTGTGTTGCTGCGTAAAGATAAAGCTTGAACACTGAAGAGGCCGCATTTACATTTCTTATAAGGACAATCAGACAAAGGGCTTAAGCTAGAAATTTCAGCTTTAAAAACTCTTTACAGTGGCTAATTTACATTATCAACTCATGAATCATATGAAAGCGATCTTTACAGTAATGAACATTACTTGAGCAGTAGTGAAATTGAGGTTTGAAAAAATTTAGGCGTGTCTGTGATTAAAATATGACCTCTGCTATACCGTCACAGTGCCCTACCATCTGAGCTAACAAGCTAGCTGGGAGCTGGTCATCATTAGTTCGTAAGAAACGTGTGAAGTGGTGAATAAATGACTGGGAATATGCGAAAATCATGTACGTGAACTACGGATTAAGAGGGGAATATGAAAGCAATCTTTGCAGTGATGAATATTAGATAAGCAGTGGTGAAAGTAAAGCCTGAAAAATAAAAAAATCAGGCCTGCACAGAATTTGAACCCGTGACCTCCGCAGTACTGGTGCAGTGCTCTACCAACTGAGCTAAAGAGCCAACTGGAAGTTAATTATGTTAGTTTGTAGTGAACCCGTGAAGTTGTGACTAAATGACTATAAATATATAAAAGTCATATATGTGAACTGCGAATTAAAAAATGAATGTGAAAGCGATCTTAAAAACACTGTTTAAGAGGTGTTCATTGTCGTGTTCATTACTACAAAGATCGCTTTCATATTCATTTCTTAATCCGCAGTTCACGAGTATGATTTCCATAAATTCACAGTCAGTTTTTATTAACTTAGTTGATAAAATCGAATTATTTAGAGATCATTTGAATTTACTCGGGATGCAGCTACTAAAAGTGAAAAGCAAACCGTCATAACCTCCAAATAGAAGGTTGATTTGTAGTGTTCTGTGCGGCCATCCCGTTGCCTCAGTTTCCTGCAGTGTTACTACCCTGTTCTACAGTGTAATACTGTGGCATATTTTGCGCTTTCCCATGCTCCAATATTGTGAAAAAGGTACTGATAATAAACTTAATGTTAATTAATTAATGAAAATTAATATATTCCACAATTTTAGTAACTAAACTTACCACGCAGAAAGTGAATCAGATATTGCAAAACCGCTGTCTAACAAGCTTGATTGCTGTAGGCTCGGATTTATGTTTCAAGTCAACCGAGCGTATGAAGGTTTGTTGCACGTGCTTGCAGAGCATCTTTAAACGCTGAATTCAAAATGCAAGGATACTCTCAAGAAGCTTCGCCACAGCCATTAGCGATAGTTACAGATGAAACTGCAAGCTTTTACGAGAACAGGTAAACGTCCGTTATGATCATACCAGCTTTTTAAAGCAATTGATATATTGCAATTGTATTTTAATACCATTGCAATGTGCCTGGTACATGTAGATGTAAACATTCGCCTTTGTCAGTCAGAAATACGTATCGTCGTGATACAAGCTTAAAATGACCAGTTATATTCACTTGGAACGTTGAGTCCGTGGAAGGATTGCTTGTGATTGACAATTTAGAGGAACTGCTGGATACAAGTTGATTATGTTTCATAACTTCAACCGACTGCTTATGTACTTTGGGTCGTGGAAGTTGTCATTCACAAAACGGTCTAGCCCCTGATTTTGTATTGATGTTGTAAAGGTTAAACTATTCCCTGAATAAAAAAGGAAATTTGTGCATGAAGTTAAGAGAGCACAACAAGAACTATCAATTTCAAGGTCTACTGATACGTGTATGCTACAAGGAACTCATCGTGACTCCGTCATAAGGATTCTTTAGTACCTGATTACACTTTCTATAGCTATGACAGTAAGAGACAATATGTGCAATTACACAGGATCCTTTCATGTGTGATAAATGACCTTTCCACATGAGAAACTACATTTGGTGAGTGTGACAGATATTTCTCAAGTTATATTTCCCATGATGACCATCTAGCTACACATAAGATTACCAATAAATTTCATTTCTGTTGCTTATGTTTATTACATGTTATTGCCTTTCTTAAGTCATTCAAACTTCTCAAGACCTTTGCGACGGGAGGAATACAAGGCCTGTGTTAAGAATGTTCCTATTGATATGTCTAAGGTGAGTAATCATGTGAATGATTGTCAGCAAGATGGCAGCACTCCCAAGTATGTATGTATGTTTCTATGTATGTATGTACGTATATATGAGCCTTCTGGTTTGTATCCTACCAGTGGTGAATTTATGTTAATGGGTTACACCCTAACATCAGCATGCATATTCTCCATACTGTTCTCTAAACATTTCTGTGGTGCTTACACGGAGAATTCATGTAACATTCAAGAGCCTATTAATAGTTGGTGATCATTTCCTTTGTTCTTGTGACCTTAATGTGTGATTCAGGAATGATACTGTAAGGAGAAATGAATGAGAGTTTTGCTTAGCTTGGAGTAAAAGGTTGAAGGCCCCTTTCCAGTGTTGCTTTAGCTGTTTACTAGGGGAAGATTTATTTGGCTATGCTAGGGAATAGTTAGCTGCAGGGCTCCAAGCTGAAATTTTTATAGTGACCAGAGATGAAATTTGAATTTCAGGAAAAATGGACAATTTGTGCAATGTTTAAAGACAAACTGCTGACTGCACTGCTTCTGTTTTGAGTGAGCAGTATAACTGACATTTTTTTTGGAGATAGGCAACCCAAGAAAACGAGGCAAATTTTTTCTGAAGAAAATGATAGAGTATGAGGACATGAGTGATGGCTGACCAGAATATTTATCTGATTTTGATTTCAAACCTCACTCAATAAGCTCTATGTTATAAAAACTTGACAACTTATGTACATGACTGCCAAACCCACAGATTATCAAAATTTACAAATAGCTCATTAAGCAACTTTCATTGCAAATTTAGTTTCCAAATATTTTGAAGTAATTATGGACTGGGCTGTAATGTGATGGTTTTTGTTCCTATCACACTTACTTTAGACTGTTGTTATGGAATGTAATTTTTAACCTTTAACTCCCAAGATCTGATTGTTACTTCTCTCCTCTAGCTGCTACAAATTTCCTTCTAAATTGGTTACATATATTTAGTAAATAGATGGTGGTGAGGGTACCTTAACCTAGCTATCTCTCCTTTTGTCAATGTTGAGTAGAGAGTTTTACAAGGAGAGTACATTGTAAGTAATTCCAGAGGAGGATTTATTAACCGAATGCAAATGTGGCAGTCTATTCAGTGGGCTAGGGGAAGTCAGCCTTTGCCTTTTCTTTTCAGAGTGCAGCCCTTGAAATTCTGTTATATTTTCCTATGCCTACAAGTGGGTCTGTTCCTGAATATCATCAATAGAGAAGAAAATCTTTTGCATGAGAGCCTCTGGGTAGAAAATAGCAATCACAAGGGGATTGAAGTTTGCTTGCATGATTTCAGGCAAGAAGAACTAACAAAATCTTTGAATGTATTAATTTATTTTTCCTGAAACGCTTCACACCTAATGCTGACATAACTTTTTTTCACTGGCCTTCTAAATTATGCCACTCTCACAGCTATACTTAATATCCTGAGTTCAGGCGAAGATGGAGAAATGTGCCCTTGAAGTAAATATACCTTGAGAGATGTCTCAGAGGAGTTTGATAAGGCTGACTCTAAAGATGAGGACAACACAACAACTGCCAAGAGGAAATACCCCCCCCCCCCCCAGGCTTAAACCACCCATTGCCTAATGTTACCTGAGGAGAGATTATCCTGAACTCCATTCAGCTCATTTGAATGGCACAGCACAGTGTGAAAGTTAATATCAGCATCAGTTGTAAAGCATGCAAGGGAAAATAATTGGGAAGGTATTGCCTCACCACCATCATTTGGCTCAAAATTTTCACTTTTTTCATCAATAAGGACAGTGGTAATTGACTCAAAATTGACTTTTTATGGAACTTGCAGAAAATACAGACAATAAAGCAATGTTTTTCAAGAGCTGTGCTGTCAAAACAAAACCCAAAGACTGTCTAGCCTTGCTTTTGTGCAACTCAAACTGAGCTTACCGAGTAGTTGGTCATATTTGTATTTAGTCTATGGTGATAATTTTGTATACCATTTATGTATGGTTTTGGCTAATCAATCATATTGATCACAAGGTCTGGGTTACTATACTGCTAGTCTTCAAGGAAACAACATCTAATAGTTGCAATAAAATGAGGATCAAAATGCATCAATGACAGCATGCCACGGCACACCAGTGACAACAAAACAAGGTTTCATACATTGCGACATGTTAGCTTTCAACTTTGTTGTATTACTAAGACTAACAGTAAAGCAGTTGAAATGTCGGAATTAACATGATTGACTTGCCTGACTCTCACATTGTGAGGCAAATTATTAAACATTAATTTTATCTGTAACACTGCAATAACAAAATTTTCTATAACATCTTTTGGTTTTGTTTTCATTGAGAGATTTTTTTTCTTTTAATATGTGAATGAGATATGCCATAAATTCTTTCAATGCTTTTCTGTCCTTGTTGTATAAATTAATTTGTGCATACTTTTTATTGCTACTTCCTGCAAGGAGAGTCTTGAAGCACTTTTCAGAGGCTGTGGGAATGTTGCATCGGTTCACATTTTGCCACCAAAACCTGGATGGAACAGCACCATAAGGTGAGTGTAGAACTAATTTTAATTGGAGTTTCTGAGTTTTTTTTTTGTTTTTGTTTTTTTTTTTCAGGCTTACCACTAAATCTGTTGAACTTACAGTAGAACCAGGAATAGTTGGAAATTAGCGATCATTTAAGCACTGGATGACTGTGAATATATGAAAATTATACATTTTAACTGTGTATTGATGAATTAAGATGCAAGTGATAATCTCCCTAATGAACACTACTTAAGCTGCAGTTGATGATCACTTTTATCTGCATTTAAGTACTGGACATCAGTCAACATAGAGTAAATAAAAAGATACATGTACATGTATGTTGGAACAAGCAGTGGTGTAGATGTTTCTTCATCCACTGCTTCCTGGGTAAATTGGAATTTGTGGTGTCGCTTTTTGAGAGAGGAAGAAAACTTGGAGAACTGAGAGGTAAACCCTGGTACATGGTTTAGAACCAGCAATAAACTGCTGTAGTTGTTAAGAGACACAAGGACATACTGTACTTGTACACGTATTGAGCTAAAGTATATTTTGATAGTCAATGTGATTAGTGAGGTCCTGTTAGTTAATCTGGGTCCATATAAATATAATTTACTAATTAAAAAACATATATAAATTTTGTTAACCAGTCAATCATATAAGGATTGTTTCATCAAACAGTTTTGTAGCATTTTCATCAGAGGACGAGCTCAGTAAAGCACTAGATACCATGAATGGCACTTCTTTAGGAGATCACTGTCTTAAAGTAGAAGTAGCAGTTCCTCGAGACAGAATTACTAGGACATCAGGAAAAGATTTTCAACATCCTGGTGGTTAGTATCCAGCTAAAACAAGTGTGATATCATAATTATTCTTCAGGCTATAGGGACTTACATTGATATGGTTTTTTTTTCATATAAATTAAACAATATAATTTTATCTACAAAACTGCTTGGCTTATCTTTTAGTTTGCAGCTTGGGTGACCATTTGTAAAAAGATCATTGCATGGTTCCATAAGTCTTAACTCAAAGTTTTGAGGCTATTAGCACTCAATACCTTCATGAAACAAATTTCTTGCAATGATGTGTCATTATTTACAGGTTATCAGAACAAGCAACTATTTTTTCAAAGGAGTAAATCAGAACAACAACCTGGCAGAGGTCAATTTGAGCAGCTTGGAGGAAGGGGACCATATCAGCAGCCTGGAGGAAGAGGACTTTATCAGCATACTGGAGGAAGAGGGAAATATGAGCAGCCTGCTGGAAGAGGACAATTTAAGCAGCCTGGAGGAAGAGGACAATTTGAGCAGACTGGAGAAATGGTCCCACATCAGCAGCCTGGAGGATGGGACCCATATCAGCAGCCTGTGGGTAGGGGACAGAATGGGCAGGCTGGAGGATGGCAACCATATCAGCAGCCTGAAGGATGGGGACCATATGAGCAGGCTGGAGGAAGAGGACCCTATGAGCAGCCTAGAGGAATGGGAACATATGACCAGCCAGGAGGAAGAGGCCAATACATGCACCCTGGAGGAAGGGGGTCATATCATGGACACCAGTCAGCTGTAATGATGAGACCATATCAAAACACTGGTGTCAGAGTTGAGCAAGCAATTTTCAATCCAAGAGGACCTGGCCGAGGAGTGGGAATGATGCAATCATTTGGTCCTAGCAGCGAAGTTGTGCCGGGTGGTGCTAGCAGCATCCTGAATGGAGCAACAAATTCTTACCCACATGAAGCTGAAGGTAACACTCAATAACTGCCCTATACAGTTAGTTGTCACAAGATTTATGTAACCTACTAGAGAGGAAAAGCTTATTGAAAATCAGTTTTTTAACCTTACTTTAAAGGAGACATAAATGGATTGTGAGTTTGTACTCCCTTTAAAATAAGAATTGGTTTGATAAAGGTAGAATGTACATATATTGTTTTCTTGTGCCATACTTAAGTCTAACTACCTTCAGGGAAGTAACAATATTCATGATACATGTCAGTACACAGGTGTTTTTTTCATGACCATGTCCCTTTTTTCACAAATCCAGGTTGACTTGAAAACACTTGCAAAGTTAGCAAGAGTACAAGGGACTTTTTGCCCTTATCCTTTTTTATTTTTCCTTTTTGCCCATGGTATTTTTGTAGTCATAATTTAATTAATTCACTTGTAGCTTTGCAGAAAAATGGAGCACAATATCTGTGGGATGAGACTGGAGGTTCAGACATACAACAATTGACTGGACGGTTACCTCGACATAGTGAGACAGAAGATAATACGACCAACCCAACACCACATGCAACAGTGCAAAATGGTAATGACTTAATCTTCTATTCTTAATCCCCCTTCCCCTGCAGTATTTGAACTTTTGAAGAATTGGTTCAATCAAATTCCCACCCCCAGACCCCTAGGGTCAAAACTGTGTTCAATGCCCACCCCAGATATAGATTAATGTTCCATAAAAAGTTTAAAATAAACTTTGAGAGTGAAAGGTACCTTCCAGTTGAGTTATTTCTTTCCATGTAATTTGTTTCTTTTTGTTGGTCACAACATTTGTTAATTGGGATTGGATTAAGTCATGATTTTTTTTTTTTCACACTATTGGTAATGACCTCAATTTATTAAACTGAAAAATTCTGCCTCCTTTTTCTCTCTTTTGTTTGCCTTTTTTTTTTTGGCAAATAGCCACCCAGCTTTTAATAACCAGTTTGACTGGTTTAATCTCAGCTTAACCAAGGAAATTGTTAATCAAGGGATAAATCTGCTTTCATGAACCTTATTTATTTCTTATATTAGTTATCGTAGGGATAAGAAATTTAGTCCTCTATTAATCTCTAATTGGGGGTAATTTGATCAGTTTTTGAGCAACTGGGGCCAGGTCTTATTGTTTTACTGAGTGGTTCAGTTTATCCTAGTTGTTAAGATTAACCCAACTTATCTTTCATTTTCAAATCAGATAATCTATTGAACTACAGGTTGTTAAGAAACTTCACCAGTTGTTTTCAACAGCCAGGTCTGATTCATATTGAGCCATTTCAGACAACATTATGTCATTGCTGCTGATTATACAATTATAAAATCATCATGTCTTAAATTTTGCAACTAACTAAGTCTACTTAAGTCTACTGTAATTCTACAAATTGATGAAGGAAACAACTCACCTGGGACAAAAACCCACTGACAGAGGGTAGGTGGGAAAGCCAATGTCAAACAGTCCCCCTTTGCTTTTATCAATGACTTAAATCTATTAAAAGAATGTAAACTCATTTAAGAATGTAAACTTATTTGTAAACTCTAAACAGCATCATCACATCTTTGATACTTGGCAAATAATTTTTTCTGCCATGGACTTTTGTTTCATTCCACATGTTGTAAATTTCTGCTCTAAGATGCCATTTTGTTTGAACAATTCCATTTGAATGATCTTGACCTTACTTTTTCAATTTTGAGCATCAGGAGGATGTTAAGGAAAGTTGTGCTACTTTTCCTTCAACAATTTCTGTTAATTCTTGAGTTAAAGATTTGGCTGTCTTAGATTTATGCTGGTTGAATTTACACACAGGGTTATGATGATCAGGAGCTAGATTTTAAACCCTGTCTTGATTTTTAATGTGCACATTTAATCAATTGCATAATAACACAAACAAAGTTAATGTAGTCGCAGGTAGTCAAACCTGTCACCAGTTTGGTGAGGTTGGTCACTTCACCCGATATTGAACTTATGATATTTCTTAAGTTCAAAATGTTCCAAACTGGTCTTATTTCGATATTTACGTTTAATAACCATTATCATCATCATAAAAAAAGATAGAAAAAAAGGAAAAGAGACAAGACCTCACTATGGTGCTGTTTTATGGAGTGTTTGCATGCTAAATTTCCAATATCCTATTTATTATTATTGTTCACTTAATAAAGTGCCTTTTAACATTAAAATGATCAAAAGTGCTGTTCGCTTCCTAGAGTTCTTGATTGTTTGTGAAGTCTTTGTTTTGTTTTATTCCATGAAAATTAACTCATTGAAAAAGGGAAAGATTAACAAAGCTCTAGATGGCATTTCAAAAACAATTTATTTCATTGGTCACTTTTTATGGTTGTTTTTACTGTTAATTATTTAAGGAAGATACCATTTTTGTGGTTCAAATTAAAGTGTTTTGTTTTCCTAACTTCAGGAATATTATTCCATTACTTTGTCAGATTCTGCCTTTGGAAGCAAGAGTAATAAAAATCATACAGTACTCTATGGAGTTTCAGGCAACTAAATTTTTCTTGCATTTTCCTAATGTTCTGATCAGAAGCATGGAATAATAAGTAGGCAAACATCAAAATTTAACAATGGTATTGAAGCCAATACTTGTAGAGTGTAGCCTTGGTACTCATCCTTCTGCTGGGTGCTACTTACAGTACTACTGAATGCTCTCATTCCAATGTTCTCAAGGCACTCTTATTAGATGCATCTCGTTAACATACATGTACACTTCACTCTTGTTATGTTCAGGATCTGGGAACAGAATGCCTCCAGTTACATATATTCCACCAGAGCTTCCAAGTGACATCAATGAACTTTTCCAGGATGCACCACACAGTGGATTGAACTTTGATAAGTATGATGACATTCCTGTGAAAGTTACTGGCAAAGGTTCTGTTTCACCTATTTCATCTTTTGAGGAAGCTGGGATTTTAGAACAATGTTTAAAAAACATCAAGAGGGCACAATTCACCAAACCAACACCTATTCAGAAGTATGCTATTCCTATAGCTCTTGAAGGCCGAGATCTCATGGCCTGTGCTCAAACAGGCTCAGGAAAAACAGTAAGTGTGAAAATAATGTCCTAGTGTACAATTAATTTAATGGAGTGATGTGAGGAAAGACTAAAGACTTTACTTACAGTGTACTGTAGATCGAAATATTTGTTTTTGTTAATTTAATCAAGTTTCAATGTCAGTTGTTCTTTAAGAGACTGCACTGTTTATAGAGTTTTGATTGATAGTCCATATATAGTAGCAACTTTGACTCTTACCTACTATGGACTGTACACATTTTCCGTACATCTTTGTGTTGTTTCATTTCATCATAGGTAGCATTTGTGGTACCGGTGTTGACTGCAATGATTAAACAAGATAATCTTAGTGGTGGCTCTTTAACTGGTGAAACTCCTGCTCCATCAGCACTTTGTATTGCACCAACTCGTGAGCTTGCTGTTCAGATCTTTAAGGAAGTGTGTAAGTTTGCTGATGGAACTGTTGTGTGTCCAGCTGTTTGTTATGGTGGAGTAAATGTTCATCACCAATTGACTAAGATAAGAAAAGGATGCCACTTCTTGATTGCTACTCCTGGAAGGCTAGAGGACTTTGTTTCCCAAAGACAGGTATGGTCTTGTATCACTTGATACGTGAATCTCATATGAAGGTTTATTCAAAATAACAGTCATCCATTTGGAACATTTTTCTGGTTTGACCATTTTCACTAATTAAACCTTTCCTCTACCAGGTACTTTAACCAGTAGGACCATTTTAAATGGTGGGTCATTTTAACCGGCTGGACCATTTTCTCTAGTTACACCATTTTAAGCGCCTAGTCCATTTTAACCAGTTTGACCACTTTTACTGGTATAACCATTTTATCACGCATGACCAATTCTACTTAGTTGGATAATTTTAACCAATCACATTATTTAAACTAGTCTGGCTATTTTCTGTAATTAGACCATTTCTTTAAGTTGAGCCATTTTATGAAGTTAGTCCGTTGACACAGGTTGGATTATTATAACCAGTTGGACTATTTTCTGTAGTAAGACCATTAATAATAGTTGGACCATTTTTATGTTGTTCCACCATTTTACCTGGTTGGGTTTTTATCTAGTAGGATTATTTTAAGCGTTTGGATGGTTGGATCCAGTTGAACAAGTTGTTTTGCCAGAATGAAATGTTACCATTACAGCTCTTACCGCGCGTTTTCTTGAACGTGAGAGATAACTTACAGTGCCTAGCAGTGATATAGCTCAGAGGAACCCAGAAAAATTACAGCATTTGTCAACAATTTGGCCAAAATATTGTAAAAGAGCCAAGGTTTACGATTGTTATTTTATCATTCAAAGTTCTTCAGTGTCCTGCAAACCATTTCAAGGACACTTCAGATCTTTAACGCACATGGTTTATTTTCCTTTGAATGAAAGACGAGCGAAATGCTAGTGAAGTGGAAAACGTGTGGTATTTTGTAATTTTTCCCCTATATTAGTATTTTTATTGCTGTTAGGTAATTCTCTTTTCAAGTATAACCGTTTCCGATCACGCCCACCGTTATTTTGGGGCTTGTTTCTTTTTTCAGATAAGTCTGGAAAAAGTTCATTACCTAATTTTGGATGAAGCAGACCGTATGTTAGATATGGGATTTGAACAAACAGTTCGTAAGCTTGTGGAGAATTGTGGAATGCCTGGTAAAGTTCACAGGCAAACACTCATGTTCAGTGCAACTTTCCCAGATGATATTCAGCGTCTAGCAGCAGACTTTTTGAGGGAAGATTATCTTTTTGTTATTGTGGGTCGTATTGGAGGATCAAATTTGGACATCAGTCAGACAGTTATTTCTGTACCAGGAGACGAAAAACAAGAGAAACTGTTTAATATTCTGCTTAACTCAGGTGACTAGTATTTTCTCGTCCTTCCTTCGTTTTTTTTCTCCATACTGAGGTGATTATTGGGTGTATTTGTCAGACCTTTTTTAAAGTTTATTATTAAGTTTTAAGTGTGTGAATAACTTGATTTGTCCAGTTGTGGCATTTACAACCAACCGGCTTTGTGACTTCAGCCTAATTAGCACTTTTACAGTGTACCTTGACCCTTTTGTTTGGCGAGTGAATAAAAGGGTTGACCAGCTGTTTTTGACGAATAACTCAAAAAAGACAACGAAAAGTTGAGTCAGGACTTATAGGATTGGTAAAATTTGTGACTATTATACATATAGGATTATGCTTTTTCGTCCTAGTAGGTTCGATCACACAATGTTAACCTTCATAGTTTGGGAAAATAGGTAAGCTTAAAATTGGAGTCTGTAACTTGAGCAGATTTTCTGTCTTTCAATAGTTAAACAGCAGCAAATTGTTATTTTTTGACAGGAACAGATCGCACCTTGATATTTGTAGAGCTTAAACGTGTAGCAGATTTCTTGGCTTGTCTCCTCTCTCAAAATAACTTTCCAACCACAAGTATCAGTGGGTAGGTGTCTGCAATGCGGGTAACTGTACTTTGATAGTTATTATCACATTTGCAATAAAGGCTGTGTCACAAAGGCGGTAAGTCGCAGCGACAGGTCTTCGGGTACGTCATAACTATTGAAGCCAAAATATTTCATCGTATCCGAGCCATAACCATCCAAACCAGTAACAGTGAAGTATGTTGTTTCTTTGACATTCCTCGTTTGACGTGTCGTGACAACTTATCCACCAAAGTATCCTGGCCTTGAAAACCCGGCAAAATGTCAAAGTAAGGATTACGTCGTAGCTTACATAAATGCTGTAATTGTGTAGGTGCTAGTGAATACAGGGTGATTTCGTACTGATTCTACGTCATATTTCTACAAAGTAGTTGAATGAAAACAGCGGGGCTCTGTAGGTGGTTTTCTCTAGGGTTGAGTAGTGAAGTTTAAATCGTCAACTTGTGCTATAGTTGATTGGACGGTTACTGAATTTTCTAGGGACAGGACACAGCAAGAGCGTGAAGCAGCCTTGCAGGACTTCAGAAGCGGTCGAGCTCCTGTACTTGTGGCGACATCAGTGGCAGCACGAGGTCTAGATATACCTGATGTAAAGCATGTTATCAACTTTGATCTTCCTCAGGACATAGAAGAATATGTCCATAGAATTGGTCGGACTGGTCGGATTGGTAACAAAGGAAGAGCTACCTCCTTTTTCCAGCCAGGGAAAGATGAAAGGCTTGCCCGCAGTCTGGTTAAAGTTTTATCTGAGGTAGTTTCTTGATATTTTCTGCTCTTTTTAACCCACTTATTTAGAGCATTCAAGTGATATGAAGAAAGTTCTATAATTCATCATGTGCTTAAGACTCATCACACATAAAATTTTCAGTTTTTGGTTATCCAGACATGAAAACGATCCACTTTGAATTACTACTAGAGAAAAATGGAAGAAAAAGTGAAAACATCCTTGTTATTATTGTTACTTTCATCACCGTCATCATCATCGTCATCATTTGTTGAATTTGAATTGAAAGTTTGAAAGTTCAATTTTTCCTATTTAAGCATAAGCAGGGTTTTTTCCTCGTAATATTGGTTTCTCGAACCCGTGTTTCTCGGCAATAGTCTACGGCATGTTTAATTGTTTAATTGTTTGTTTACGCCTAGAAAGCTGACAATAGTGTTTCACGCCTTTAAATTCTTCTTCAGATACATCACTGACGCTTTGTGCCTTTGTTTGTAATAAGCCTGCACATGATGCTTGTATCTCATACAATCTAGTTTAAGTACATGTCACTGATGATCGGTGGCTCGGTTTCATAGGCATATCAAGAAGTTCCAGATTGGCTTGAGCACGTTGCAGAAGAAGCTATTGGTTCGTCATATGGCCCTGCAGGTGGAAGATTTGCCTCCAAAGATAGAAGAGAGGTACAGTTATTTGGCTTATTAACTCGCTCTCCTCGTCAATATAATCATACTGTGCGTCTCAAATAAAATGTTTTATTTCTCTTTCGTCTATTTTCTGTTACGCATTTCAGAGGGAACAACTTAAAGGCAGTGGTTCCCGAGATGTGATAGGGGAAGTCAACAGGCGCATGGAACAACTCGATGTTCAGTCACAAAACAAACATCCTCGTGGGGAAGTGAACAATTCAACAGATCTGTCAGGTTACCCGGATGAGGAAGAATGGGACTAAGTCGAATTTTTTTTAGCGACCGGAATCCAGATGGATATTTACTGTTTGTTGCCGTGCATTAAGAAAAAAAGACAACCTAATGTTTGTTTCTGTTTTTTGAAGTATTCGTTGAAGATGTAATGAGTTTGTTGGGTTTTTTTTCTTCTTCAATGCCGGGGAACTGGACACGCTTGGTCGACCGAATCTGATTAACTTCAAGGGGCACCACGTCCATACTACCCCTCGTGTAATCTCACGAACAAGGTCGTCGTGTAATCAGACGTTGTTTGATTGATTATCGTGTACAAGCTGTTGTCCCGTAGAAAATGCATTCCTGGCATTCTTGTAATCTGTTTTTCATTGCGAGGTTGTATCGTGCCTGACGTTTCTATGGTTACCTTTTCTTACGATTATTATTGTTATTGTTGCGTTTTCTATTGATGTAAATTCACAAATGAATCATTGCAGTTTAAATTGTGTAAGTTATCTGATTTTTTACTTCATGATGCATGTCTAGTATTATTATTATTATTGTTATTACTATTATTACAACCATTGTTATTATTATTAATACGATTATTATTATTATTATTATTAATATTTTGAAAGTGTGTCCTTATGGTATTCACAGGGTGAGTGAGATCTTAATGCAATTCATTGTTTAGGTATATACTAGAGGGATAGACTTGTCTTACCTCACTGCCATGGTAGCGTTATTCCTCCTCTCAGTACTACTTGAAAAAACTCAATCTCCGTCAAATGAATTCCATGAATGAATTGAGAAACGAGTGACGCCAGATATAATAAAGTTCACAAGACAACCAGTCAAGGGAGCGTGGGCGGAGTTGATATGCCATATGCGGAGTTGATATGGTTGGAAGCTTGGCATATCAACTTCGCCCACGCTCCTCTAAATTGTGATGATGTCTATTTACACCTCGGCAGCCATTGCCGTCGAGTTTCATAAAATCTGTTTAATCCTGGGATGTTGCTAACCCCGCGAAATTCCGAGATTTAACTCTTTCTCAAGGGTATTGTTGTTTTGGAGTGAATATCTTAACGATATGTCGATTCTTCGTCTTTACGTCTCCAAACCTACGCTTCGTGGTGCAAGCTCGAAAGACCTCGAGAGCCTGAAAGTGAATTTTAGATGCCTGAATTATAGGTAGAAGAAATTCCGTATTGAAGCTACTTTACTTTACAAATTTTATTAATTCAAGGATGTGTTGGCCAGTTAAAGGAGTCTTCAAAGCCGCTCGCGGCGAGCTACGACAAAACGCCGACATCCAGTCTGCTGACCTCTTGAGGTGATTCCTCAGTATTGCGCTGCGCATCCGATACTGCGCACTAAACATGGTATTGTTTTTCAATCAATGGACGAGGTGAACAGGTACCCTGGTCTTTTGTTCTTGAACGAGTATGGCGACCTATATTTTTTATGGCATAATTTTGGTGTAAAAATTATCCCCTTTAGATTTAAATAAATTTAAGAGAGAAAATTTAAGGAGAAATTTTAAAAAAATCATGTCATGGAAGAAAAGATAAAGCTGGAAGCGTGCACAAAGCTCGTTGCTCTAAGGCGCAAATTATGGTATGGACTCTAGAAACGTTTTGAGTTGATGTCATTTAAACGCGTTACTTTTTCATAATTTATATATTGCATTGTTCTATTCGCCCGACTAATTAAGTACTTTTAAAGTACTTATCAAGTATTTTTTTCAAGTTTTACTTCAAATAAAAACCCTTGCTATCAGCTACCGCAAAATGTACCGTGAATCGATGAAATGACGCACGTAATTCGTATTAGTACTGGCATAAATAGGGTGAGATTGGCCCATCATATTTCTCAAACAACACGGTGACCTATTTTTTCCATTTTAGTTTTCGAGACAGACATTGCTAAGCAACAATTAAGGAAAATTAAAATTGTTCTTCCTGAGGAATCACCGCAATGACTCCCCTTTCCCATCCCCTCGAAGACTCACAAGATATTAATAACATAAACACATAACCTTGATACCTTACCTTGGCCCCAGACTTTTTACCAAAGATCAAAACGGTAGACGCCTGTTGAACAAATGCGTAACCTGGGCACTACTAAGTTACCAAACAACTTCCGGAATTTGCATTAATGTTTGTTTAAATGTGCTACACAATCGCCAGGAAAGCATTATGTTCAAATTCCGTGGAAGATGATGACAAAGTTGTTACTGTATCAGTGCATTTGCCACTCGTATATCAGAAAAGAGCAGTAATACAACTACTACTACTATTTTGATCGTTCGAATCTCGTGCCTTTTTTCTCTGATTGGCTGAGAGCTTCCCCACAAAAACTCGTTCCCAGACTCCTTTCTCCTCTTTCCTCATGAAGATACTTTGTTTGTTTGTTTGTTTGTCTTTTTTTACGCATAAATGTTTGCATCTTGCAATCGTGATGTAAAACAGATTCTGAAGTGTTAGATTAAGTCGGTCCGAAATTTAGTTTTAGTGATTTAAGTGATTCTTCTAATACGAAAGTTAAATATATGGAAGTGTACGTTAGGCCAATAACTTACGCTGAGGATAATATGGATTGAGAGTTGGCGAGGATGAATCGGAAATTGTAAAGCGTTTTCCATTGGGGTCCTCCTTGCGAAGTTATGTGGACTTTCGATATCACTTTACATGATCAAACAGAAATGCTGGATTACGTCGCCAAAATATGCTTCTACACGGCGTATTCGCTGGGAGCTTTACTTTTAGGTATGCGACCATAGATGAACATCGATCCTATCAACTGCCATTCCTTCCTTTCAAGTAACCCGACAACGATGGAACTCTACATAGGGCGTGGAGTCTATAAGAAGCCTTCGTTTATTTACTGGAACGCCAAAATGGTATCGTACTTCGGATGAATGAATTGGGAAGACTTTGTCCAGCTACTTTAATGGATCTAACGGAGTGAGGATGCGATGAACATTCTGCAAAGGGACAATTAGATTACGGGGCCAGCAGAAATGAGTTTTGTTTGATCCAAAAGGTGACTGAGCCTTGTCTAGTTGTTTACTTGGTTCAATTTTTACGGCTTCGTTGTTACTGCCTTTCAGCGCAGCCAGTGTTTAGGAAAGTAGCTTTACTCTTATCCGCACGTCGTTCTAATTTTCGCTCCATATTTTTCTGTTGGCATCTTTCTGAAGGGAGACAGCTCCAAGAAATTCCTATTTATAAAGTTAGGGCATTAATTAATTATATGATTTTTCTCAGAGTCCTCCAAAGCTTCCCGTGCGCGAGCGATCGAAGGTTTCCTCGGGCTGTATGACGGAAAACTCGTCAGAAATGGTTTCCATGGATTTCCTCTCAAAACAAAATCATTTGCTTCAGCTATCGGTGCGGTCAGTATCGAGATTCGGAGCTTTGGGAATTTTGGACCGTTTCACAATCTGATTTGTCAAAAACGTGCAAAAACCAAACCAAAAAAAATCAAATACTCT